GAATTACAGACAGTGAGAGGGAGAAACAGAGAAGAGAGAGAGAGAGAGAGAGAGAGAGAGGTCTTCCATGTGCGCATTGACTGCCCAAATGTCCAGCAGTGGCCAAACTGGGGTGATCTGAAGCCACGAGCCAGGAGCTTCCACAAGGTCTCTTATGTGTGAGCAGGGACCCAAGGACTTGGGCCACCCTCCACTGCTTTTCCAGGCGATTAGCAGAGAGCTGGAGTGGAAGCGGAGCAGCCAGAACACAAACTGGCACCCATATGGAATGCCGGCACCACAGGCAGAGGATTAGGCTCCTGGGCCACAGCACCAGCCCCAGAAGCCTGACTCTTGTAGTCCAGTCAGGTTGCAGAGCAGTGTGGTGGACTCAAGGACTGGGGGGAGGTGGGAATGAGAAAGGACCGCTTGATGGAATCAAGATTTCCTGTGGGACTCCTGGGAACCTGGTGGGAATTGATGGAGGTCAGGGTGTCCCAGGATTCTGAAGTGACTGAATGCCACTGAATGGCACACTTCCAAGGGCAAATCTGAGCTTGCGTGAATTTTTCTTCAGTGAGCAGCTTTTAAGTAGCAAACATAGGAGTTTGTAGGGAACCCAGCCTGACATGGCTGCAGCCATCTCGGTCATATCCACCATCACGCACTTTAGGTGAGCCTGGAGGTCATGATGTTACCCGTTAGGATAACCTGCTGCTCTGCTCTGATGCCCTGGAGCATGACTGCCTCCTGAGAACGTCCAGGTGCACCGTGGTCACCGTAAGCCTCCTTTGCCTTTGGAAATCCTTTCTCTCCTGCCTCGTGGAGCGAAGATCTTATGTCTCTTGGCCGCCGGTTCTGCCCCTGAGTCACCTCAGTAAATTACACTTTGTGCCTTCCTGGACTTTCTGTCTCTTTCTCCCATTTCTCCACACCTCTGCCTCTGGCAGCCGGTTAATGAGAGCCAGGTTTTGCCGAATCAGAGAACTCGGGCCAACATCATAAAGTCTGTGTGTCGGGGCCCGCTTTGTGGCACGGCAGGTTAAGCCGCCCTGTGGAGGCTACCATCCAATCTGGGAGCACTGGTTCGTGTCCCAGCTGCTCTGCTTCTGATCCAGCTTCTTGCTACTGCCCCTGGGAAGGCAGCAGCAGATGTCCTGATGCTTAAGACCCTGCCACTTGAGTGACAGTCACACATGGTGTTCCAGCTCATGGCTTCAGCCTGGCTGAGCCCCAGCAGCATTTGTGGTCATTTGGGGAGTGAACCACAGCCAATGGAAGACCTCTTTTTCTGCCCCTCCCTCTCTGTCACTACACCTTTCAAATAAGTAAAATAAACCTTATGGGAAAGAAATAAGATTTGGAGCCGATGTTTTGACGTAGTGGGTAAAGCTGCTGCTTGGGAGGCCTGTGTCCCACACAGGTGTTGGTTCACTTCTGGGCTGCTCTACTTCCAGACCCAGCTCCATGTCAATGGCCTGAGGAAAGCAGCAGAAGAGACGGCCTAAGTGCTTGGGCCACTTCCAACCACTGGGAGTACTGGAAGAAGCTCGTGGCCCAGCCCTGAGAATTATGCCATCTGTGAGCAAACCAGTGAATGGAAGATCAATCTCTCTCTGTCTCTCCCTCTCTCTGTAACTCTTTCAAATAAATCGATCTTTTTGAAAAAAGTACGATAATAAATAGAAACAAGTGGTTTTGAAAAAAAAACACTTAGGCAATGAACTTTTAAAATACTTGTTTAGCAAAGTTGTTGTGCCTACTTGTGTGTGTGTGTGTGTGTATACACACACACACACATATGTAGCATTGATGGGAAAAATGCCTATTTTTGGAAATAAATGAAATAAATACATAAATGTCTGGGAGACCGTTTCCATTTTTTGCAAAACTCTTTTGGGTCTATCAGATCGAGAAACACCTGGGATTTTATAGCTGCTGCTTCATTCCACCTCTTGCCCTGGTGGGCTGTTTCCAATGAAGGGTGGGTGCCTCCTGCCTGCTCAGATGCTGCACTGGGAAAGCAAGACCTCTTGGTCCCCAGAACAGGTTCTTGGGGACCACAACCAGGGTTCCATTTGACCAAGTAACCGTTTAGGCCCGGCCAATCTCCAGGCCCTACTGCCACGCGAAGCTCCCTGATTCTGACACTCTGACCCTGCCGGCCCCACCTTCCCCTTCCTTAAGATTCCCTGAGAGCGTCCGCCAGTCAGAGTCTTCCTTGTGGGCAGGAGGTCAGCAGGCAGGTGAGCTGGACGTGCCTTACCCTCGATTCCCGTCCTCTAAGGGCTACTTCCGATTTATACTCTTCAGAGACGAGCGGCCTGGGATTGCCCTGGACACAGGCAGTCCGTAGTGGACATCCCACCCCGCCCTCGGCACCCAGCGCTCTGTCTGTGGCCCACAGAAAGACCTGTGCCTGCAGAATTATTGCTGGTATACTCTCCAGAGAGGTTGAGGGTCCCAGCTTCGAGCGGGCCCTCCTCTCCCATCCCACTACCCCGTCCACAGCTCACAGCTCCCTGTCATCGCTGGGAGGGGTCCTGGGGATCATGAGCCCTTTCCGTGGCCTCCTGCAGAGCCTTCACGGAGCTGGGCCTGACTCTTTCCTCAAGTCCAGGCCCGCGCTCCTAGGGTCTCCTCCTCCATGCCCATGGGTTTGCTGGCTGCGGTGCCTCCCCGCCTTTCTCCCGACGTGGCTGCACCCGCCCCTCACAACACCGGACCCCCTTTGTTGCCCTCTCTTTCCAGCCTCACCCCGTGCTGGCCTCGGGATCATTTCATCGGTTTTCCCCCTTGATGGCTGTCCACATGGGTAGGTACGGTCGTGCCTCTGTGTGTCCATGTGCCACGCGTGTGTCCGTGAGTGCCACATACAGCCATGGGGTGCTGGCAGACTGGAGTGTGCCTTGTGGTGTTTTCCATTATTGTGGATCATTTTCCAATGTTGCTTCCCCTCTGTCTTCTCGGCCTCCAGTTGGCTATGGCTGCTCTGTGTCAGGTTGCGAGTTCTAATAATGAGCATGTCTTGCCAGGAATATGAAACATTCCTGCAAGAAAGTGTCAAGTGTAATCTCACCGTTCCTGGTTTCTGTGGTACGCCTTTGCCAAGCCTGCTTTCCTTTTGCTCACCTCTGTGTGATTCTGCAGGCCCTGCCCCCCGAGTCTTCATACAGTAAGATGGACATGCACATGCACACACGTGCCTGACCTCTGCCTGATATTTCACGAGAGTTGACAAGTTGCGCCTACCCTCATGTCTCATGTCGATCGTGCTCCTCTCTGTGGTGTAGCCACATCGTGAGGTTTCTGTTCACCACTCCGGATGCTTTTTTGGCGTTTCTGTGTCTGTCTTGTGCTAAGGGAAGTACGTGTAGCACTGTCCTCCCGGTGAGTGTCAGTTTTCCAGAAGCTGCATAATTCACCTGAGTCTTCTCTGTGCCCACCCACGAGGCTCTGCCTCAGTCCTCCCATTGGACACGCAACGCACTATCGTGGGCTTAGAGCCCAGAGTCATGGTCCTTGGCCCGTGGACAGCACCTGGCATCTGCCCAATAGGGTTTGCAGGGTGCACAGCACCCGACTCACCTTGTGGGCACGACAACCCTCTGTCCTCATGCAGGACAGAGGGCTCCTCAGTGGATCCCCAACCAAAAGACACGCCTCATTCACTGGCCAGGGTGTGAATGGTTACGGAGCTCTCATCCTCAGCAACGAGGAGGTGACCCTTACTTTCGTAGGCCTAATGTACTCTGTGCGTGCTTATGGGAGCTATGGGGGTCTGGAGGTCTCGTCTCCCCTGAGGCAGGTAGCAGGGTCTGCTTTCAAAGCACAGCCCCCCTTTGAGTGGGAACTGTGTGCAAGGGGGCTGTGCTTTGCAAGGGAGAGTCTGTACGCTGGTCTTCAAGTAGAGGCCTGGATAAGAGACCAGGACGTTTGCACAGCCCTTGCCTGAGGCGCTCCTGCGATTCCTTCTCTGAGTAGTAGACGATGGGGGTGGGGGTCGCAGGTGCCTGCCGAAGGGTTGCTGGTGCTGCTTTGTTGTTCAAGGAAATTTGAGAGGCAGTGCCCTCGTCGCTTGAATGTGAAGGTGCCTGTCTGTTTACGTCGTAGCTCACGGTTTGCAAGGTGTCAAAATGAATTCTCTTTTCCTCCTACGAAAAAACTGAGGGCAGTTCAGGATGCTGATGCTTGTGATCCTTACCATTGACAGATCACTTGTATGCACAAAAAAGAAAAACAGAAAAAGCATTCTCCAGGAAAGTGTGACCTCTATTAAAGTATGATATTAGATTAGTGGCCAAACTTCAAGGACAATGCATAGATGTAAATCCTCACCCAGTCTCCAAAACCCCGCTAACACAGTGACACCTTTAAAACTTAAGAAAGAAAACGAAACAGAAAGACTCGTATGTACGCTTCTGCGGCTTTCTGCTGCCAATGGAAAGGTGCAGGCATCCATTTTCTTCATCAAAGGGGTTCTACAGAGTGCTCCTTTATCACCGAGAGGCACACGGCCAGCTCGTCCTCACAGGGCAATGCGTGTGCTGAGGGAGGTTTAAAGTCACACCCCTGACCGCTGAGAAGCAGCTCTGGTCAACAGCTCGTCACACAGGGAGGAGTGTTGGGGTGAGAATGAGAGGACGCCTGCCCCCGAGCAATGCTGTGGGGCGCCACCTCCACAATGACCCCAACTGGGAGAAAGCTTCCAGAGGGTTGGGAGATGGTTTTGGCTTTTCAGAAACTTTTCCCCCAGATTGCTTGAAGTGCCCACCTGGGCTAGGAGCTTCCGCAATGACTTTTCCTACATCATGGCTGTTGACAGGAGAAAGAAAAGCCCATTTGATTATAGGCCCTTTGATCCTCGAGCAAAATGCTAATGGGCTAGAACACAAGTTGTGCCCCCAAATCATCAACACTTGTTTTGGGGGATTTTATTCTTAGTGCCCTGAAGTTGACTGAGATGTTACACAGTTCCCACTCAAGACTCATAGTATCTTCCTTTTGTTTTAACTCGGCAGGTGGTGTTTGGATGCAGCCTGCAATTCCGGATGCATTTCCAGTCGCTGGTCCCCAGGGAATGTGGAGTTACTTCAACATCTTGGTTTGGTGGTGTTGCCGTTCTGTTTCTTTCACAGGGTTCCTGGTTGGCACAAAAAATACATGTTTTCTACCTCTGAGTCTCTCTATCTCTCTCATTCTCTCTCTCTCTCTCTCTCTCTCTCTCTCTGCGTCTTTCATTCTCTCTCCCCCATTCTCTCTCTGCCCCTCCTACTTCTCTATCTACTGTGTGTCTATCCACCTACCTCTATTGTATACCTGTCAGCTCACTATCATGCATGCAACTATAATCAGATATCTCTGCTTCTGTGTGCATCCTTCTGTATCTAATCTGTATCCATCTGTTTTTCTCAGTCTCTGCATGCAGTTATCCTTTTCTTTTAGTCTATATACATTTTATATCCTTCTGTGCGTTCACGTGGTCTTCTAGATAGGACCTGTAAATTTATCTGTGTGTATAAGTGCATCTGTCTTGGCTATATCAGTCCTCGGTCAGTGGCCATCAATCTAGCTCTGCATTTCTGTCTATGTAAATATTTCCACTTCCCTCTACATCTATCTCTCCACGCAAACGTCTGCCTACTTACCAAGCAACCTATCTAGTGACCTACCCTTCTCTCTGCTGGGAGAGAAGACAATTCTATTCCCACTGGTACAAAATTGGATAGAAAACCATACACAAACCTATATGGAAGTGCTGGATAGAAGGCATTGGGGCAGTGGGCCACAGCGTGTGGTGAGAGGATTTGATAGTGGGACTTGACATATTCCCTTCAGATCATTCTCTTAAGGAGGCATTGCTGTTTTAGTCAGAGATATAATTTGATCATTGGTGTTGGAAAGTGCGACGTTGAAAGTGTGTGTTTCACGCTTGAAAAGGTGGAGCCAAACATGGATACAGAATAGTATTCAAATCCTGTGCGGTATAAACATATAGTAGGAACATGCTATCCTATACTATGGTATATGTGTCTAAAACAAGAGGACCTTTCTGGAGCCTGCTGGGGCTTGCATATTTGCAAGAAGCATGCCCTGGTGATGGAATGGCGGATGCTTCCTGTAGTTCTTTTTCAGTAATTTTAAACATCATTTCAGAGAGTTCGGCGTGTATATATTTTTTTGCAAGTAAGCAGCCGTTTTTTAATTTATTTTGAAATGTCTACACCCGTATATTTCAAGAAAACCTATCAGTTTTGTCTCCAAGAGGTTTGAAGCATAAAAGAAAATGATGTAATTGTGCCATTTTAAACGTACAACAGACTTTTATGCTAAAAGTTAGAACTGGATGATTAGAGAGATGTTTGTACCAGAGTTTGAATTCCAGTCTAACTTTTTTGTTGTTGTTGTTGTTCAAGTGTTACCATCTTCTTATCTGTAGTTCCAGCTTTGAGGAATACGATGATAATATAGGCAAAGCTACTTTCTGGGAGTATTTTTCTTTTTTTAAACTTTTATTTAGCAAATATAAATTTCCAAAGTACAGCTTATGGATTATAGTGGCTTTTTCCCACCCCCATAACTTCTCTCCCGCCCACAACCTTCCCAACTGCCGCTCCCTCTCCCATTCCATTCACATCAAGATTCATTTTCAATTATCTTTATATACAGAAGATCAATTTAGCATATATTAAGTAAAGATTCCAACAGTTTGCACCCACACAGAAACACAGAGTGTAAAACACTGTTTGAGTACTGGTTATAGCATTAATTCACATTGAACAACACATTAAGGACAGAGATCCTACATGAGGAGTAAGTGCACAGTGACTCCTGTTGTTGACTTAACAAATTGACACTCTTGTTTATGGCGACCGTAATCTCCCTAGGCTCTTGTCATGAGTTGTCAAGGCTATGGAAGCCTTTTGAGTTCACCGACTTCGATCTTATTCAGACAAGGTCATAGTCAAAGTGGAGGTTCACTCCTCCCTTCAGAGAAAGGTACCTCCTTCTTTGATGGCCCGTTCTTTCTACTGGGATCTCACTCACAGAGATCTTCCATTTAGGTGTTTGTTTTTGTTTTTGTTTTTGTTTTTGTTTTTTTTTTTTTTTTTTGCCAGAGTGTCTTGGCTTTCCATGCCTAAAATACTCTCATGGGCTCTTCAGCCAAATCCGAATGCCTTAAGGGCTGATTCTGAGGCCAGAGTGCTGTTTAGGACATCTGCCATTCTATGAACCTACTGTGTATCCCGCTTCCCATGTTGGATCGTTCTCTCCCTTTTTTATTCTATGAGTTAGTATTAGCAGACACTATCTTCTTTCTGTGATCCCTTTGACTCTTAGACCTATCAGTATGATCAATAGTGAACTGAAATTGATCACTTTGACTAGTGCTATGGCATTGGTACATGCTATCTTGATGGAATTGAATTGGAATCCCCTGGCACATTTCTAACTCTACCTTTGGGGCAATTCAGCTTCAGCATGTCCCAAATTGTACATCTCCTCCCTCAATTATTCCCACTCTTAAATTTAACAGAGATCACTTTTCAGTTAAATTTGAACATCTAAGAGTAATTGTGTGTTAATTACAGAGTTCAACCAATAGTATTAAGTAGAACAAAAAAAAATACTAAAAGGGATAAAGTATTAAGTTGTACATCAACAGTCAGCACAAGGGCCGATCAAGTCACTCTTTCACATAGTGTCCATTTCACTTCAACAGGTTTCCTTTATGGTGCTTGGTTAGTTGTCACCGATCAGGGAGAACACATGATATTTGTCCCTCTGGGACTGGCTTATTTCACTCAGCATGATGTGCTCCAGATTCCTCCATTTTATTGCAAATGACCAGATTTCATTGTTTTTTTACTGCTGTATAGTATTCTATAGAATACATGTCCCATAATCTCTTTATCCACTCTTCTGTTGATGGGCATTTAGGTTGATTCCAGGTCTTAGCTACTGTGAGTTGAGCTGCAATAAACCCTGAGGTGCAGACAGCTCTTTTACTTGCCAATTTAATTTCCTTTGGGTAAATTCCAAGGAGTGGGATGGCTGGGTGGTATGGTAGGGATATATTCAGGTTTCTGAGGAATCTCCAGACTGACTCCCATAGTGACTTTACCAGTTTGCATTCCCAGCAACAGTGGGTTAGTGTCCCTTTTCCCCCACATCCTCGCCAGCATCTGTTGTTGGTAGATTTCTTTTTTTTTTTTCAAAGTTCTTTTCAAAAGCCTCTATTCTGTCTTTTTTTATCTTTTATTTAGTAAATATAAATATTCAAAGTACAGTTTATGGATTACAATGGCTCCCCCCCCATAATTTGCCTCCCACTCACACCCCTCCCATCTCCCGCTCCCTCTCCCATTCCATTCACATCAAGATTCATTTTCAATTATCTTTACATACAGAAGATCAATTCAGTATATATTAATTAAAGATTTCATCATTTTGCACCCACACAGAAACACAGAGTGTAAAATAATGTTTCAGTACTAGTTATAGCATTACTTCACATTGGACAACACACTAAGGACAGATCCCACTTGAGAAGTAAGTACACAGTGACTCTTGTGGTCAAACTAACAATTTGACACTCTTGTTTATGGCATCAGTAATCTCCCTAGGCTCTTGTCATGAGTTGCCAAGGCTGTGGAAGCCTTTTGAGTTCGCCGACTTCAATCTTATACCGACAGGGTCATAGTCAAAGTGGAGGTTCACTCCTCCCTTCAGAGAAAGGTACCTCCTTCTTTGATGGCCCCGTTCTTTCCACTGGGATCTCACTTGCAGAGATCTTCCATTTAGGTCTTCTTTTTTTTTCAAGGGTGTCTCAGCTTTCCATGCCTAAAATACTCTCATGGGCTCTTCAGCCATATCCGAATTCCTTAAGGGCTGATTGTGAGGCCAGAGTGCTATTTAGGACATCTGCCATTCTATGAACCTACTGTGTATCCCGCTTCTGATGATGGATCATTCTCTCCCTTTTTGATTCTATCAGCTAGTATTAGCAGACACTAGGCATGTTGTGTGATCCCTTTGACTCTTAGACCTATAAGTGTGATCAATTGTGAACTGAAATTGATCACTTGGACTAGTGAGATGGCTTTGGCACATGCCACCTTGAAGGGATTGTATTGGGATCACATGGCATGATTCTAACTCCACCATTTGGGGCAAATCCAATTGAGCATGTCCCAAATTGTACATCTCCTCCCTCTCTTATTCCCACTCTTATATTTAACAGGGATCACTTTTCAGTTATATTTAAACACCTAAGAATAATTGTGTGTTAATCACAGAGTTCAAACAACAGTACTAGAACAAAATAAAGAGAAAATACTAAAAGGGATAAAGTATTACATTGTACATCAACAGTCAGCACAAGAGCTGATCAAGTCACTGTTTCTCATAGTGTCCATTTCACTTCGACAGGTTTCCCCTTTGGTGCTCAGTTAGTTGTCACCGATCAGGGAGAACATATGATATTTGTCCCTTTGTGACTGGCTTAATTCACTCAGCATGATGTGCTCCAGATTCCTCCATTTTATCGCAAATGACTGGATTTCATTGTTTTTTTACTGCTGTATAGTATTCTATAGAATACATGTCCCATAATCTCTTTATCCACTCTTCTGTTGATGGGCATTTAGGTTGATTCCAGGTCTTAGCTACTGTGAGTTGAGCTGCAATAAACCCTGAGGTGCAGACAGCTCTTTTATTTGCCAATTTAATTTCCTTTGGGTAAATTCCAAGGAGTGGGATGGCTGGGTGGTATGGTAGGGATATATTCAGGTTTCTGAGGAATCTCCAGACTGACTCCCATAGTGACTTTACCAGTTTGCATTCCCAGCAACAGTGGGTTAGTGTCCCTTTTCCCCCAATCCTCACCAGCATCTGTTGTTGGTAGATTTCTGTATGCGAGCCATTCTAACCGGGTGAGGTAACACCCCATTGTGGTTTTGATTTGCATTTCCCTGATGGCTACTGATCCTGAAGATTTTTTCATGTGTCTGTTGGCCGCTTGGATTTCCTCTTTTGAAAAATGTCTATTTAGGTCCTTGGCCCAAATCTTAAGTGGGTAGTTTGTTTTGTTGTTGTGGATTTTCTTG